ACTTGCAGGAAAATTTTCGGCGAGGTAACGTGATGTAAAAACTTGCAGTATATATCCAACATTCACAGGATTTTTTCAGATTCCTGCGTGTCAACGCAGGAATTTGTAAATTTTTTTTCAGTGGGTATGCATGAGATGAGAAATATTTACATGTAAATGTAATCCAGAAACTGAAAACAGTTGCATAAAAAAATTAAAATGTATAAAAAGAAAGGTTTAAAAATTTCATTATAGAATTTCTAGTTAGTATTTTTCGGATGAGAGGAGTATAGCAAAATAAAATAGCTGTTTGGATCTTTACTTATCTTAACAGTTTTATTAGTTTTTAATAATCGGTTTTTCACCGAGTTACAGTTCAATACTAATTTTTTCGATTATTATTTTAGATGATCCACGACAAGTTCAAGAAGGAATCGGTGGCTGTGGCTATGCATTAGTCGTTTTGTCATGGGTTATATGCATTTTTACCTTTCCATTTTCATTGTGTGTCACTGTAAAAGTAAGTATTATACTGCAAACGGTTTCATATTAATTCTTAGATACGAAATTTTCAGGTTGTGCAAGAATATGAACGTGCTGTTATCATGCGTCTTGGTAGAATTTTGCCAGGCGGTGCAAAGGGTCCAGGTATGAAAGTATCGGATTCATAAGATAAAAAAATCATGCTTCGTAATTGTTTTTTTCATTTAGGCCTCTTTTTCGTCTTACCATGCATTGATACAATAATGAAAGTCGATTTGAGAACCGGTACAGTAGTGATTTTATTTGTAATTAATGTTTAAAAGTAACCACATTGGTTTTTATCTTTGTAGTGACATTCGACGTGCAACCTCAAGAGGTAAAAAAACGTCTTTAATTGGTTTCGAGATCTATCGAATGTCCAGGCTTCATAATACCCATAAGAAAAAGCCTTCTATATACGACGCACTGTGAAATTTTAAAAATTGAACTTTGTTTTTTCTTCTTTAATAGATATTGACACGAGATTCTGTAGTAAGCTATATACTTTGATAATAATATAAACTTTAATTAATAAACTTTTCTCTTTTGTTGTTTTTAGACAGTGTCTGTTGATGCTGTTGTCTATTTTCGAATATTTAATCCAATAATTTCTGTCACAAACGTAGAAAATGCACGTTACTCAACACAACTGTTGGCGGCCACAACGCTAAGAAATATTCTGTGCGTATTTAAAATTTAATCAATCGTTCACAATTTTCTTGTCGAATATCATACTTCTTATTTTTTAGTGGTACCAAAACATTACAGGAAATTTTATCTGATCGTGAAAATATATCACACTCAATGCAAAGTCATCTTGATGAAGGTAAATATTTCTTTCTAACTTATTTTTGACTTTACTTTACTGATTCTTTTATCTGTATAGGTACTGATCCATGGGGTGTAAAAGTTGAGCGAGTTGAAATGTAAGTAGATTTGAAATATATTCATTTCACTTGATATTTGTATATAATATATGGATTTTTTTCTTTTTAGTAAAGATGTTCGTCTACCTGTCTCAATGCAACGTTCAATGGCAGCTGGTATGTCTTAGTATCGTTAACATTAATTATTCTAATTTTCTATTTTTGTCTGTTATAGAGGCTGAAGCTGCTAGAGAAGCTCGTGCAAAAGTAATTGCCGCTGAAGGTGAACAAAAAGCATCAAGAGCATTAAAGGTGAAGAATTTTTAAATTTTTGTCAAAAAAAAATTTCATTTTTCTTTTTTTTCTACAGGAAGCATCTGACGTCATCTCAGAGTCGCCGATAGCACTTCAGCTACGTTATTTACAAACATTAACGCACATAAGTGCCGAAAAAAATTCAACAATTGTCTTTCCCATTCCAGTGGAATTATTACGATTGATGAAAACTAGGGCAGACAAAAATTAAATATCAACACTTCCGTCTCATAGATGTTTAAAAAAGAATGATTCTATTGTGCTGATATCTTGTGTGCATGTATTAGATCTGTTTATAAAGTATTATTGCATGTATTTTATTTTTTATGCTTGACAATTTTATCCACCTTTTCAATTTACTGTGATTTATGATGTTAATTTTTTTCTTCATTGCTTTGTTTTCGTTGCAATAGCTGAACAGCGATTGTCCAGATACACTGCAAAAAGGTGTCGTTTATTCGACTGTTTAATGCTTATTAATGTTCGTTACTACTACCCGTCCAATGAAAGAACGGCCCTCGATATTAATTGAATAACTTTTCAACGAAAAGAGCTAGAATCTTGCGGTTTTCAGCATTCGACAGAGGATATTTTGGGAAGTAGACCTATGAAAAAATTCAGGCTTCGGATCAGGTTTACCACAGAGTTGTAACCGTTCTAAAAATAAGAGGCCGAACCGGGCGGGCCGGTCCAAAACAGCGGAGTGAACCAGGCCTGTCGGCCACCAGCCGGTCCAAAAATCGGTTTAGACTGGTGAAAAACCGGTCTGTTGCAAAGGTCTACGAGCTAAGGTAAAAATTCATTTAAAAAGTCGAACGAAAAATCAACAACAAACTGACTGAGCTCGATTATCAAAAGCCTCACAATGATACACTATTGGAAGATTTCAAATTTTCTCGAAATGTATGATTAGACTGTGCTTTGTAGTTGAGGGGAAGAGCATGGGTCTAGAAAACCACTGTCACTGGATTCAATTCGCGGTCGAGGCATACATTGTCTTTCTCATGTTTCTCTCGCACCGGAAAAGTATGTACACTAATTGACATATTAAGTCCTGTTTCTCTTTCCATGGTTAACACTTCCATTCAACATAAAAATGGTAATATGTTATTGAATTCCAAGGACAGGTTAAGTCGATGGCGAGAATATTTCTGTAAGTTATTAAATATACATACAGTTATTGATCCAACGATTTTGCAACAGATTCCTACTCCAGTCTTTGATAAAGCTGAAGAGACAAGACAAGATACACCACCATCCTTGGCGGAAGTGTGCAAGCAATCAAACAGATGAAAAGCCTAAAAGCACCGAGCAAGGATGATGTTACGGCTGAATTATTGAAAGCTGGTGGTATGGAAATAGCTCTGCGGGTATATCAAATCAATTCGTATGGCGCAACAATGAAGTCTCTGGCACATTTTACTTCTTCATGGTTAGCGTAGGTGTGCGACCTACTTTGGCTTTTCCTAGCCTTCTCCCTCGAAAACTACACGTCAGTTCTCCGAGATCTTATTACCTCGCACACTATTCGACTAGTACTTGTCACCTTCAAGTTGCCAGGAGGATATTATTCTGTCTCTAGATGCCCGTCACTCAGAAACTCTGATGGCTATCCAAGTGGCCCGGATTCTCAGGATCCGCTCTTGATAGAAATGCTGACAGAAACTAGAGGGACCAAGAATGATCATCCTTTTTCCACTCGAGTGAATAAGTGTTCGACGATGTATGTACTCTTTTTTAAAATAAAAAATGAATAAAAGACTAAAATGAAAATGATACTAGTACAGAAAGTATATACGCGATGTGTGGAACTAGTTAAAATCAAAAAAAGTAAAAATGTATTACTGACGACTTTATCTGTATATCACGAAAAAGAAGATACGTCAGCACATGATGAATGAGAAAAAAGAAGAAACAATATAAGTGAACGGTAAAGAACAGAAACAGAATATAACTAACTAGAAAAAGAAGGATCTACTGTCGACTACCTCTGATGCGCTCTAGGAGAGAGTGGATCCTGGCAGTGCTACAAAAGGCGTAAGGTATTGACTTTGGCCAGGTGGTTCTTCTTATGGCGATTTTCTAGAGATCCCGTCAAAATCCTATCATCTGGCTAGGGTCAGGAACGGGAAAAAATACTCAGTTACCCATAAAACGACATGCTGAATCCGAATTTCAGATTAGTTTGGATCAATATTTATGAGCAGCTGAGAATTTTGACAGGATTTCTAGAAAACCGCCAAAAGAAGAACCACCCGGCCACAGTCAATACCTTGCGCATCATCGGCATCGTCATTGTCTGATTCGTCGTCACATTTGTATAAAAGTGGAAACTGTTTTGCCTCAAGTCCAAGTCAAGTCAGACAAACAAAGTACCAATGGGAGAAAAAATTTCAAGGGATCATTCGACTTGATTTGACTTAAAATTTATTTTTGTGACTTGACTTGTGACTTCCAAGGCTTCTGACTTGTCCAGCTCTGCAGAGTAGGCAATAATGTATCAAAATTAAACATGATATTTTCAGCTGGAAGTTCCTTCATGCTTAATGTACTTTTTAATGTGTTTCAACATTAATACGTGGAAAGTCATTCGTTCAATATCTTTGATGAAATTTTCATTGGTAACATGTTCAATAGTGCTTCACGAGTTTAAATTTGCGACGCATACATGGAATTTTGTATAATTTTGTAAATTTGTGACTCGCCATACATAGAACATTCGTCAAGTTGGTTCAAAGTTTAGAGTTATAGTTAAAGTTTTAGAGAATATAGTTCATGCCTCGCTTTTTAATAAAAATTCTAAGGACTTTGCTGAAAAAAGGGAGAACATGTTGTAAAACTTATAACTTGCATTGAGAGTGGCGCGGAATCCGATAATTTGCTGGGAGAGTAAAAGTCATTTTTCTCTGTTTCTGTATCAGCTATGAGGTCTGAAACGACAGTTTCTTACGTAACTTGATGAGCTCTATAAAACTAGTTTGGTTGAGCGATGATTCGTTTCGAACAAAAGTGTGAAAAGCAACAGTTTCCAAAAAATCCAAAAATGGGAGTAAGATCCTCAAAAAAAGGAGTAAGGTCTCCAAAAATAAGCCCCTGATTCTCCGAGCTCATGGTGAAGTATAAATAATCGATGAGCATCACTCATTAAGTTTGCCTAAACGTTACATTCACTGTAATTTTCTGAGACGTAGGCGGAAAAAAATAGAAATAAGTCATCTAAGTCGGTTAAGAAAGCTTCTTCAAAGAACACATTTAATATCAGTTTTCGGAGAAAGCAGCACTTTAGTATT